AGATTTACAAACAAGATAGTACCTTAAAAGTGATTACATGCTCACTTTGCTTTCCAAATTGTCATTGAAATAACTACCCATGCATAAAAATGATGCCCATATCAGCACTAGAAACTGTCCATGGGCACCTCACACATCAGAGTTCTTGAACTGTCTGCTATCTGCAGACATTATTGGAATAAAGAGGGGCCAGCTCATTCTTTAACCACTGTGGAACATCTGAAAAGTATGCAGATGGAATCCCAACAGGAATCCAGAGAACATTCTAATTTGATCGGGTGAAGACAACTGGCAGCTAGAAGAAGACAACTAGAGACCACCAACCACCAACAGAGCAGTGATCACAAGGCTCAGCTTTTCTCCTGCTGTGCACATCCAAGAATGAAATCATCGCAGGGCTGGCTCCTGCTGAGAGTAGGGATGGTGAGCTTAAAACAGAGCCTCCAAATTCTTTGCCACTCCTTCCAGCAATTTGCAATTGCTCTCTTTAAATGTTGGTACATATTTTATTCCTTCATATTGATCCACTCAGAGTATCAACATGTTTTCCTATGCTAAGAGATATTCTTTGCTTTGTTTTTTATTTTGCTATCCTTACCGAGGGAGGTCTAGGCTTGTTAATGTTTAGAGACTGAAAAGATTTTTTTCTGAGAAAATGTGATTCTACCATTTAGGTCCAGATGAAGGGATAGGAGAAAGTTAATAGCTTTAGTTTTACTTCACAGTTTCAGAAATTCAGTAACAGTATTGGGTACAGACAGTGGGGAGATTTACCTTCATACTAAAAACACCATAAAATTGAGCCTGGAGCATTGCCCCATTTTTTCTTGGGTTGGTTGTTTATATGGTTACCTTCTGCTAGATAAGGGATATAAAAGGTGATAAAATACACAAGGATCCACACTCAGACAAAACAAAATAACAAATAGGAATTTCCAAATTTAAAGATAAATAAAGAACAAAAAGAGCAAGGAGGAGGAGAGAGAAGAAAAATGTTCTGACCTGAAGAAAGACCTGGGGTTTAATGTAGAAATATATCAAAAGTTAAAACTGTGAGTGGTAGGAGGCCCAGACCATCACAAAGGAGACAAAAGAATAAGGTAATGAGAAATAAAAGTATCAGTTGCTCAATAAAGCTGATTCAAGAACCTGACTTAAATCACAGGGTACAGTAGTGTTCTTAATAAATTATTTGTGAATCCGCCAGCTATACCTACATAGTTACTAGCACACCCATGCGACTACAAACTTCCAACATAGAAACTGGCACTTACCCCAGAAAGTGCCCAGAAACACCAGCCATGTATCTGCCACACAGCAGGCTGCACCTAAAAAAAGAGAGGGAGAGACAGAAATGTTCAGATGAGGCTGATCATGACCTACCAAATTCACAAGTCAGAAAAGTAACTTCTCCCAAGGAACTGGTTAGAGAATGGGATGAGGATTGCTTCAAGGGGACCAAGAGTACTACCAAAGACCTCTGACAGAATGGTGAGACAAGGGAATAGCCTTTACTCCCGCCATAAAAACACATTAGGCAAAATAGATCGAAAAGATCTGTATGTTCCGATAACTTTTGCCATTACAATGATGAGGGAAAATTCCTGCATCTATCCAGGCAGAAAACAAGCAAAAAAATACACTATCTCTGAAAGGAAAAGGAAAATCAAGTTGCCCACAGTTTTTTTTCTCTCTATTATGTTAATTCTCTGGGACAAATGGAGTCAAAGCTATAGAGTTTTGAGGGAAAATATGACAGTAAGCCAAGACGCAACAAAATACATTGCCAAGCATAAGAAAAATAGACATTGTCAGGAATGCAGAGCTCAAAAACTATCACCTGCATTATATTCCTTAAAAATTACTGAAGAGCAATTCTCCAGCTGATGGAGAGATGGATCTAACACACTTAGAAACATGAGTCATTGTACAATATTATAAAGGGACATTAGTAATAATCAGAAAATATTGGTAGCACACAGTGTTGTCTGAAAATTTCTTGTAATATGTCTATCAAACTTAATACAGCCAGTGATTCAGTGTCATTGAGTCACTGGCATCACTGACACTGAACCACTGACTCAATGGACATAAGTTTGAGCAAACTCTAGGAGATGGTGAAGGACAGGGAAGCCTTGCGTGCTGCAGTCCACGGGATCACAAAGAGTCGGACATGATTGAGCAACTGAACAACAGCAGCAGCATCCTGATTAACTTTCTGTAATGTAGTTTTTGTTCTAGCCACTGTGGGATTGTGGTTTCTGGCTAAGAGGCTTTTGTAAGCTTCCCAATGGGAGGGACTGGCGGTTGGAAAAATTGGGTCTTGCTCTGGTTGGCAGGGCCAATCTTGTTAGTTGTTTGGCCTGAGGCAACCCAGCCATGGGGTCTCCTGGCTCTCTGGTAGGGTTGATGGTGACCTCCAAGAGGGCTTACACCAAAGGGGACGTTCCAGGACTGCTGCTGCCAGAGCCACTGTCCCTGGAGTAAGCCCCTGCCAACACACACCTGCGCAGGAGCCCCTCCAACACTCGCAGGTTGTGGTTCAGTTTTGGTTTAGTCTTCTGTGGGGTCACTGCTTCTTTCCCCTGGGTCTTGGCACTCACAGCATTTTGTTTGTGCCCTCCAAGGTTGGAGTCTCAGTTTCTCCCCAATCCTGTGGAAGTCCTATAATCAAATCCTGCTGGCCTTTAAGTCCAGATTCCCTGGGGATTCCCAGTTCTTTTTGTTGGATCCCCAGCCTAAGCCTGGTGTGGGGTTCAGAACTTTTACAATAGTGGGAGAACTTCTTTGCTATTTCTGTTCTCTAGTTTGTGGGCCACCCACCTGGTGGGTATGGGATTTGATTTTGTCATGATAGCGCCCCTCCTACCATCTCACTGTGGCTTCTTCTTTGTCTTTGGATGTGAGATATCTTTTTTTGGTGGGTTCCAGTATTCTCCTGTCAATGTTCAACAGCTAGTTGCAGTTTTGGTGCTTTCTCAGGAGGAGAGGCACGCATGTCCTTCTACTCCACCATCTTCCTTTGCCCCCTTTTAAAATCTGGTTATTTGTTTGTTTGCTATTGAGTTGTATAAATTCTTTATACAGTTTGACTATTAGCCCCTTTAGAGATATACGGTTTGCAGATATTTTCTCCCATTACTAGATTGCCTTTTCATTTGTTGACTGTTTTTCTACTGTGCAGAAGCTTTCAGTTTAACTTAGCCTCACTTGTTTATTTTTTTATTTTATTGCCTTTGCTTCTGGTATCATATAATAATAAAAAAAAATCATTGCCAAGATCAATTCAAGGAGTTTTTTTCCCTAAGTTTTCTTTTAGGAGTGTTATGTTTTCAAATCTTATATTTTAACCTTTAATCCATTTTGAGCTAATTATTTGTGAGTGATATCATATAGGTGTTCAATTTTATTCTTTTGCATGGAGATATCCAGTTTTCCCAACTCCATTTATTGAGGAGACTGTACTTTACCCATTGAGAATTTGTGGTTATCCTATCAAATATTAGTTGGCCAGATATGTGGCAGTTTATTTCTGGGCTCTCCAGTCTGTCTTGCCTGTTTTTATACCAGTACCATACTGTTTTGCTTACAAAATAGCTTTGTAATACAGTTCAAAATCAGAAATTGTGACACCTCCAACTTTATTCTTCTTTCTCAAGATTGCCTTGGCTGTTCAGGGTCCTTTGGAGTTCATACATTACTTTAGGATTTTTTTTTCTTCTGTTGTTCTGAAAAAATGTCATTGGAATGTACAGGGATTTAAATGACTCCATAGATCACTTTGGTTATTTGGACATTTTAGCCATAGTGATTTTTCAATCCATGAACATTGGCTATCTTTCCATTTATTTGTGTCTTTGTCAATTTCTTTCTTTCAATGTCTTATAGTTTTCAGTGTAAAGGTCTTTCACCTCCTTGATTAAATTTATTCATAAGTATTTTATTTCTGATACCACAGATTGGTGGTTGCCAGAGGTGCATTTTGGGAGGTGGGTCAAATGGGTGAAGGTGGTCAGAAAGTACAAACTTCCCAGTTATAAGATAAATAAGTCCTTGATTTGTGATGTATACTATGGTTAACAATACAATGAGTATATTTGAAAGTTGCAGAGAATAAATCTTAAAAGTTCTCATCACAGAAAAAAACTATAAATGTGTGGTGATGGATGTAAACTAAACTTATTATGTAATCATTCTATAATATATACATATATAAAAGCATTATGTATACTTAAAACTAATACAATGTAGTACACCAGCATGTAGGAAATATTAGAAGTTACAAGCCAAAAGTATGATAATGATGGCTTTTATATTTACCTACATAGATGCCTTTCCCAGAGTTCATTGTTAGTACAGGCTTGAGTTACTGTCTAGTGTCTTTTCCTTTTATCCTGAGAGACTCTCTTATCATTTCCTGTAACAAAGAAATAATAGCGACAAACTCCTCTAACTTTTGTTGATCCAGGAATGTCTTAATTCTTCATTAACCAGTCCCTGGTTGCTTTAAGTTTTGCATTAAATTGTGAAGTTTGAATTAGTTGATCTTTCAGCCTTTTGACAGTTTATTATATTTGTTTCAGGAAGGGACTAATTCCTTGAGCAATCTACCATTTTCTATGGTATCACTTTTGCATTCTCTTCTAATATGTGCTTTATTTTATGCTAATCTTATTTTTATTTTAAGTTACTGTTTTTGTTTCCTGGGGCTTAGGGGAATAAAAAGAGGTCAATGATATACAAAGTAGTGTCATGTACTTTTTGTTATGTTTGCCATTTCCTACCTCAAAAAACTATTATTACCGTGTTTCAAGTTCTCTCACTACCTCTATTGTACTGGTTAAATTATCAATGAATTGTTTTGTGTATTTAAGATAAAGCCAAATGTTAACACTGGATCTCATTTTATTATTATTTGTAGCTATCAATAATGCTGAGTTTAAAAATTATGGTGATACTTATTTTTTCTATTCACCTTCTCTGGTCTGTTTTTACTTCAGAGTTCACCTTGTTGCTGTTGCACAAAGGAAAATTTAAATAGACCTTGTAGTTTAGGTAAGTTATTATTTGTGTACATACTTGTAATTTTCAAATATTTAGTGAAATTGAGAACATAAACTCATGTAAAACAATTATTATCAAGAACTTTCTTCAAAATATTAATTACACTATGATGTTTGTGATTACTGACATGACAAAACTATGGAATTACAGTATTAGTGGGAAATCAAGCAAAACAAAATACAAATGGC